TTTTGAGAGGCCGGCTGGAGCGAAGGCCGGTCAGCCAACATAGACGAACGCCAGAGAGACAATGTCCTAACGCCCCTCAGTCTGTCACTTTTATTGCGGCCTTCGTTGTCCAAAAAGGTTCCAAAAAGCGTCAAAGGAAGCACACAGTTAATTCTCCAAAGCAAAAACAATGCCATGCCACTCTCACGAGTAGTAGCAGTAGCGATCAAAGCAATCAAAAACTATCATACGAAATTTGACTATCGGTAAAATGATATATCGGCAAAGATCCTGTGAACATACAAGTGTCCCTAAATGCCGCGGCAGACCGGACTAACTATAGCGTATTGTGTACACACACCGTGACCCTTTAACCTTCTGGGCAAAATTTCTATGTTTCGTCCGCACTCGGGATAACGAGGCCCATGGCCAAAATGGTTCATAGGCTAATTAGGCGTTCCGGGTCTTACGTCCGGTAGCACCGTTAGGCAGTTCATCAGACGGACGTGAAACTTGAAACATAGAGGCTGATTAGGTGCAGTTGCTTAACGCCATAATCGTGTGCAATCGTGATCTACCACCTAATCTGGGTCGTCAATAAGCTGGAAGCATTCATAGAACAGTACGTCCCAAGTGCAAATGATACTAATGTATGGTCAGAGTTGGATTAAGGTAAACATTTATAGGATATGAATGCGTCTCACGTAGTCAGGCCTTTGCCTAGGATATTGATCCTCCGTTGCATTTATGCAGGAAGCATAGTGCCTGGCCAACTCGTGCAAGAGTCAACCCCGTAAGACACATAATCTCCTATCGACAATGTAAAGTTGTCGAAGATATTTTCGGTCTCAATAAAAACGATAAGTGCCCTATAGAAGAAGGATGGCTCATTCTCGATAGCGCTTCCTTTCGCATTTGTCTGTCGCTTGTTACCTTGATTTTCAAGATACCTCTGCATCCAATAGAAGGTCCATGAAAGCTTACTGATTTGGTTCTTAGCGAAAATTGCTGCACCGACCTGTTGCGGCATCTTTTTGACCTTCTACATTTAATCACACATCTTGCGCACTCTTTGCCGATGGGTTTAAACACAACCACTTGGACATCTTTTTTTTTTTGACCATCCTTAGGTCCACATCGTTTATGCGTCTCTATATCATAATAGGAATTATCTATTCTATAACTATTTTGTATCGTGTGAATTTAGATATATTCACTAGTGATACTTTACCTAACGCAAAGCCACCTAGAAAGTCAGTGGTTAAAATGATCAATGATGGTAATGGTGCAATTTCAAATGTAGGCGAACAACTTTCAAACCTCCGGACCTCTTTAGGAGGTTACTTTAGCAATTAAGCTTCTTGTCACCGAACCTGAGGTGTCTGCCGATGGATAATAAAAATAGTTGAGGTTTGAGTTGTTTGCTAAAAAAATTCTGCTAAAAAACTGTACATACGTCCGCTTGCCAATTTGCTTTTATCATTATCACCTCAGCTGATTTGTTCTATTCTCGTCACCGTTATCCACGGCCTAATGATGCCCGTATAGAGCCTCGGAGTATCGGGACCTTTATGAGAAAATCCGTAGCTCACTCAAAGGCTATTTCACATTAGTTGAAGAAAATACCTGTCAGCAACTCATTTATCTTCAGTTCCACATGCTTTTGAAATATTTACTTTAAATGGGCCGTGTCATATTGGCCGCCGTACAGGTATCTGCATAAGTAGATGCTAATATTGAACATCCTGGCTAAACCACGGCTGAAAGTATGAAGTTCTTTAGCTTGCAAGAAGATCCCATGACATTACGTCATAAAGCCGGCCGAAATGCAATATTTGGCCCTACAGAAACACGTTAATTTACCAGACTAACACCGAATCCTCCGGGTAGCTTCTCCGAGATTTTCATTGGTTCATGCATTACCTTGGAATAGACATCTTCATTGTGGCTGTCTATAAATGTATATATTTATTTACCCGTCTATTTGTGTAAGCATGTGTTTATTTCCATATCATGTTTCGGGTGTTTTCTTTGGCTCTTAACAAGGCGTAATGGCAGAACGTTAGTCGGAGAAGCTAATACATTTAGTAAGCTTTACTAATGAAGACTTTCTTACGACAGCAAGGATAGTTCGGCTTCAGCCATCAGTTACAAGAGAAAACCTACACATGCCACACATGACCAATTGTGCGGTTAAATGCCTTTTATGTCCAGATTGATAGGGCAATAATGGGACATACATCTGTGATACGTTCCTGTCTGAGTGAGACAAGTACGATCTCTTCGATAAACCTACCCTTCGAAACCAATAATGCGATCATTTATGTTGCCAGTAATAGATCAGCTAGCAAATCGATATTATCAATTGTTGGCATAACTTGGTTCCAAGTTGGTGCAAAAGACGTGGGCCCCGGGCGATACAGTGGAGAGCGGCCTTCAGCCTAAATGCATTTTTCTAGGCCTTTCTAGGAAGGATGTCTTCGTAATAGACCTGAGAATCATTGCTTTTGATATGTCACTACGACAGAGTTGCACGAAAAAGACTATCTCAAATGTGGGATTTACGGCGCCTAATATTGACCTTGAGTGTTGACTGTGCCTGAATTTATTCTGTATTCTGAACTCATCGTTGCTTGAAAATGGTTACTGCAACCTTTTCTCGAACCATTACTCGAAACCAATGAAAACATGTGCATATTGTAACATCCTGTCGCAAACAAAACCGGACTTAGTGATTATATTATGTTCGCCGTGTTGCAAGTATATATATTATATAAGGTCAATCTGGAGACATGTTCAACATTTCCAGAGTTGCGGTACGGCACCTCGAATCGTCGTCGAAGCTTCATACCAAAACAGCTTCATGTTCACATAAACGAAGTTGTTATTAACAAGTTATGACAAAATGTACGTTTAACCTGCTATCTGTTGCATTCAATGGCAACCGTTCGGTAAGTAAGGTCTTGTTATATATGGTCCATACGACTTTAATAACTATTTAAGTTCTTTTCTAAAATTGTTCCCACGAATAAATAATCCGATGTTTTTTTGCACCTACTAACTTTATTATATTGATGCTAAAAATAAAGTTCAGTCAAACATCAAGTACACGGGGACCTTGAGTCCCTGGAGGACTCAAGGATTTAAATCAGCTAGAATGTAAACAAAGTGGAATCGACATGATGCATGGATGCAAATGCTTCAGTAGCCTCGTGCATTACGGTCACGACAATGGTCCAACGAATCCTTGTAACGAAAACAATACAGTCTCCAAGTTTATCTGGATGACAATCAAAGACGTCGCTTTCCCTGATCGACGAAAATACTTCTGTCTAGCAATCAGTACGTAGTAAACAGGATAACTAAGTTGTCCACTCATGACAGAATACAAACAGTGCAAAGATAGCGATAGCACTCGTTGACACTTTCGTTTATCTCAGTGAAAAGCACTACTGTTTGGGAAATTGAATATGCCTTTCGAAGCACTCGCTAAAGCCATTGAAATAATAGATAATCATTTACCACCATTTAGTAACAGCGGTTAAATTATATCACATTTATTATTGATTCGAAGTGTATTTACCAGTAGTCTGTCAAATTATCGAAAGCGACCCATTAGAACGGCGGCGAGAACGTAGTAACAACAAATTCAACAATAGCAACGCACAATGACCACCCTGCAATTTTTTTTCTTCAAGTTTCTTTGGCGGAAAATGTAACAGTAGCAATGGATCTAACGCATAAGCGCGAAGGCAAGCGGTGGAGGCGTAAGCGCCGGTCATTTTCTTGTCGTATGTATTTCTCTGGGCAGACGTATCTGTCACGCGACGTCAAAACCAACGGGAAACAACAGGGGGCAAATAATAATGATTTTAGCAGTGACAATTCAACGCTGCTCTGTGGATGTCGCTCGGATGGAGCGTTTGAAGCAAACGTGACATGCTTATCGCATGCCTTGTTCAATGTGTGTCCCAAACCAAAATTATAGTGACCTTCTAACTGGCACAATCTCTGAGCGCACTTGCTGCTTCTCAAAAAGACGTGGCAAAAAGTCTGCGATATCTCGGATTATGAGAAGCACAAGGGATGCAAAAGATTGGACATTATGCGATCACACTAGTTCTCTTCGTCAAACAAGACGCATTTCCAACTTTCAAGTGCCTCTAAAGTAGTACCTTAACTAGGCAGCTCTGTAACTCTCGAGCAGTTAAATGAGTATGAATAGTTCCTCTGGCTGAAAGTAGTTAGTTAGTACCTATTTTTGTCAGTGGTGCTCGTAGTACACTAGCACTATCCTTTGAGGCAAATGGGAAAGTAGAAACAAGTGACGCCCAATAGTCTTTCAAACCAGCTTATTCAATGATATAATGTAGGATGTCGTTTGTACATAGATCCAACTACGCATGCGCTAAGCACGAGAATTAGTGTATATGACAGACCCGACTACCTAGGATACTGCAAATTACAGTGTGAACAGCATTTTCATTTGACACACTTCTAAGGGGTTCTAACCTTTGCCTCTGATTCTCACAGGAGAATATTAAGCAAGTTTGCCGACGGGAACCCCGCAGAAATATTTAGACCTTCTTAACATATTCAATAAGGCAGCTTGTCTTCCTGCTACGGCTGCAGATAAAAATGTATACGTATGTATACGAATACCGCGCTATACTTATTAGTAAGTCACTTATTATATAAGTGACTTACAGTGGCAACGATGAGTATTAACCAAGTACAAACTTTTTCAACTTTTTCACCAATTCAATATTTCAACAATTGTACAAATTATACGTTCTGTCGAATTTTTCGTCCCAAGCAACCGAACAGATCCGTCAAACCTTCTACTACCATGGATGCAAAAATCACTATTTCTGAGCATCGTTAGGTTCTTTTGTTTCACAAGGATTTGCTACGTGAAAGCTGTGGTATCAACGAGCTAGATGAAAGCTTATCTCTTTTCTTAATTATTACTTCATAATTCGGCTCTTATTAATTTGCCTGCCTAATCTGGTATAACTTACCTTTCGTTTAGAATTAATTGCCTCGGTTTGTTTTCGAGTGACTTCACCGATGCTTTGCTGTCCCCAAAGCTCACGGCCAACACGAAAATACGTAAAAGCCATAGCCTGCATAGGGATGATATAAGTTACTATCAGGACCACGAGGTTGTATCTGAAGAAAAGAGTAGAAACAAACGATTCACAAATGAATGCTTTATCTTTAAAATCATTTGATAACACTAGGCCAACAAAGCATGACCTACCTGAACAGCCAAGCAGCTCAGTTTCACCTACGTTTTATTACACCTGATTTATTTTGGGAAGGAAATATTTTTTACTTTGATTCATTAGATCGCTAGTATCTGGCGAGCTCCTAGTTGCACCAGACAAGCGCCATCTGGTGATCACATGAACACCACCACCAATTTCTCCGACGTTTGCTCTCTGTATTTCTGATGTAAGAAGCCTGGAAATGCCATGCGTATATAGCACCGTGCAGTTTTGAAATTTACCTACGAATACTTTGTTAATAGTCAACGTGATTTATATAACTTATAATAACTGTCGAAGTTAAAGTGAAAATAAAGTATGATTTTGCCCCTAACAGCTAACTTGAGATCGTAGCGGTAAAAAAGTTGAAAATACTAAAGCGCATATAAATGGCATCAAGTAAACCATGCTGCTGTACGTTCGCGATATTACTTGCGTTGAAGATGTCAGCGTCTGCACCGTGGACACCCTATCGTATTAGCGTCTCCGCCCATCAAAAATAGTGCCGTAGCAACGCTTATAGTTGACTTTTCTAAGCCAATATAACATAACGACACGTCCAAAGCCCTTAGAGAGTGAGACGTCGAGTGTTAGATGGAAAATTGCTCTCTACTTTAACCGCAACGTGCTATATAATTCTGCGAACTTCGCCCCCCCCCCCTCTTCCCGGAGCCAACTAGTTTCTTATCGTAAAACTCTTTCTAATTACAATAAGATCTAATTATCATACTAGAGTGCTCTACGGAAATTGTGGGAAAGAAAACAAGTGTAGAAGTTTATTTACGAGTAGACTAAAGGCCCGAGGTCGATTTCGCGAAACTGCGAAGATTCAAGTAGTCTAGCGCTGACCTGACTTGACCCAGAATGCAAAGCAAGTTTAGGATCTTGTCAGGATCCTTGTAAGCACAATTATTCATAGTTGTCATTGCACGCACGCATTTCGAAGAATTGTTTAATTTCGCCTTAACTGCTCAGAGTTGTCCTGCTCACTTAGATGACCCTTACAAATAAAACATGCTTCTTCTACGTTTCGAGAATTATGCCTAAAAAGAAGCTCATATCTAACCTAGGAATCGAGCTAAGGACTACAGAGCAAGGTATCGTTATATCCGATATCGATTTTCTTTACCACTTTAAAAGCCTCAAAGATCTTAAACTTGTCTGATGTTTCGACAAAGCACTATACCGTGTGTATCCCGTTTTGTTCAGTCGAATGGTCTGGTCACTTGCTGAGTGCTTATTGATATTTCTATTGGTGATGAGCCGGTAAGAAGACCAAGGAAGTCTCTCTTAAAATAGCCCGTATTCGGTACGGCACAATGTTTCTCATTAGGTATAATATTTTAAGCGGGCCCCAGCAAACAAGCGCATCATATATTCCTCGAGCGGCTCCATATTACACGTCGTGTGACGTGAGCAAAAGCTGTGAAGGTAACCCTAGGACTGAAGCTTACTCCGCTTGTGCAGATTTATTTACTATATTATATATCTCACTGAGACAGTGGAGATTTAAGTACTGACCTTTACACGTCAGTGAAAAATCGCCAGTAACCTAAATTTAATTTACGAATAAAGCATAGGTATATTTGTATAGATACGTGTAAGTTATCTTGTTGATCGGAGACTGACAACATGTCGTTGGCAGTTAGGGTTTTCTTACGTTAACCGCGTGTCTTGTTAAGACTAGGTTACTGATGCCACCAGCCACGCTACGTTTACGCAGCATTCGCGTGTCCCTTGTGTTGCGGTTCCCTTTTCGATAGCGAATGGTATTGCGTTTTGAATTGCCTTCCTAGCGACTGCACGTCGACCCAGCAGTCCTGGCGTCCTCACACTATGCTACGTCATTGGTTCGTGGAGTGATTACGACAGACCTGGCGACTTCGTAACATTTATGGTTGCTCGTATGGCACACGTCTAGTCTTCTTCATTAGTCATCTCTACTTTTGTCGGCACTAACTCCTAGCAGCTGAGCCCTCTCTTCCGCCATTCGCTTCGATGGACCTAAGCCTGTTGGCGGTCCTAACGGGAGCCTGTCCTTTGCGACGATCTAGTCCCTTACTGAGCTGCCTCTTGCGATGATTTGAGCAGCGATAGATGTGCCCTCGTTGCTGACCAGTCTCCAGGCTTCGTGGATCGGGCGCCTCCGCAAATGTGGCCGGGCGCAGGGTTTGTTGCTGCCATCAAATTTTTGAAGGACTAGAACGTTGGTCGGAGACTGACAGCATGACCATCTCAACAAGCGCTTGTTTAATTTTTCATTTCCTAATGAAAATCGGCGGGAATTTCGACGAAGCAAAATCTGCGACGAGGAGATATCTGGCGGCTGTACTGTTTTCCCTTTTCTTGTCCCAGTTTCTGCCTTTGCCTCTCGCCCTTTCTGCGTCTATAAAGGCATATGCGGGCCATACAATATGCTACTACTACAAATTACCGAAGCGACAACGTCGACATGATGGCGCTTGCTAGTAGGTGACAGCTAGCGTGAGTCGCAGAAACAGCGGATCGTCAAATATAGGCCGCTCACTTTCCCAGGTCGCGATGGCGGGCTACAACCCCCATTTCATCGGTTGATTGACCGAAAAACGGGGGTGAGAGCAAAGGGTAAATCGCTAGTTAATTCCACGCTACGCATTTGATAAGAGAATTATTTAAACTGAATTTGCTTTCTGGATATAAGTTACCCGGACAATGTGATTGTGACAAATTGAATTGTGAAGAACTTGGTTTTAATCGGAGAAATTCAGGATAACCGATTGAAAATACGCTTTGAATAAGTTCGACGTTAATGAAACTTATAACTAAAGGCATATGGCAGTAGAGGTCGATTATTGATGAACTTTACCAATGAATGAAATGTTAAAATTTAGAGTAAGTTGTATTGTCTAAAACATGGTTTGTTTATTTGTGTGTATATGGGTATCCTTGTAACCAATAACAGGAAATTGCCAAGAATACTGACTTTATTCTGTTATAGTGTTCTTAGATGCCCACCCATCTGCCATATCCCAGTGGTTTCTAATAGAAACGGTCAGACCCATCTTAAATCAGCACTGATAAGATGCCTACGGCTTCAGAGTTATTCCTTAATTGGCATCATGAATTCGTTGATTTCAACTAATCCGAGACACATATAAGATAACAGTTATTCAATAACATTGTCTGTAACGACCTTCAGCCGCGTCCAACGATAGCGCGAATATCTTTCATTTAGCTTGGATTGCTTCTCGGTCTAGCCCTGGTATTCGCTCGAAACGTTCGGGTTCATGTGAGGTCTAACGAAGAAGTTCATGAACGAAGCCGACGAAGTTGTAAGTAAGTTTATTTTGTCCGCAACTGCGCACTGTGTCATGGTTAAACATTCATTATGTCAATTGCTAGAGAAGTGAGTGTTTTTTTTTTTTCTAACCCGATGTGGCAAAATCTTCTCGCATACACCATCGGCGGTTAGGTTAAAGCTAAAAGTCTATCAGTTTCATCAATCTAACAGCTAACCATGGTGCGATAATCATAGTTGCAGTAATAACAGTAGCAATACTGTTCAACTGTAAATGGCTTTTTTTTATTCAACGTATGTGCTAATAAATCATAAAAGCTCGCTGGAGTACAAATGATAATTGTTCATTCGGTTCTTTATTAAACTATTAAAATTTAAGCTGTGTGTTTTATTCATAATAGATTATACCATTGATTACCACCCGCATTCGGGAGCTCTGTTTACTGCAAAATCCGTTTAATTAGTACCCCTTTCCTTTTCTAGTCTACTCAAATCCAACGACGTACGCGTTCATTGTCGGAGTCATTGTTACGACGTAATCGTCGACCGAGTACGACGTCTCCTTGCGGACGATCGGTCCGGTCGTCGGTATCGTAGATTTTTGTGCATATCGATGATTTCGCTATCAAATTGAATTCGTCCATTTATCTTTTATTTCTTCCCCGCACTATGGCCACTTATACGTAATAGACAGTTTAGCCTACAGAATTTAAAAAATACGTCTAACAGTGTTAAAGTCCAGGTTAACAGCGGACGATTATCAATATCGGCTACACATCCTATTTGCGAACGAGGGAATAAGCTTAGTTGGTGTAAACAACGCTAAGCGTATATAACAAACAACGAAAGCGTTCGTATGTTTCGACAATGTAAGTTCATGTTAAACTCTGAACCTGGGAACTATCTTTTCTCCTTTCGCGTGCACTTAGGTGACGAAGTTCGCGCCCGCTACCTGATGTGCCTTATCTCGATGGTTAATGCTTAAATACTTAAAGAAACTTAAATAGCAGTATACTATTCATTTAATGGAAATACTAATATATTGGGCGACAATCAGGTTGTAGATAAAGCCCACACCCTTCCATAGATGATTTGACCTTTTTTGTTGTATCATAAATGCCAAGTGGTTAAGTAAAGGCGTCCTGCCGGAAACTACCTCTAAGCTCACTTGAAGAATCAATGGGCACTAATTGTGTGATCTATAGTGTCTTCTTTGACGTTTCTTTTTGCGAACGATAAATCACGATATTGTCGTTTACGAACAACTATTGCTCCTTTTTTGTTTCTGGGTAAGTATCCGCGTAATCTGAACGTCTATCATAGCCATTAGCTGCGTTGTCACACACGGACTCTGTGGGTATATTAAAAAAAAATCTAGTTCCTTAAGCCTTCTAAAAACTTTTAATTTGGTCTTGATTTAATCAAAAGTTACTTTTACCATGCTCATTCTGAGCAGCCTGAGCTAGAGGACAAGGAAGTTGAGTGACGTTACTATTAAAACGACATGTTAGTATAACCCGTTTCACTGGATTCCTTTTCGTTCAGCTGGACACTGAAGACCGAATTTATGTGCTGAAAAAACCTCTAGGTTTGAAAGGGTGGGCACCGCAATTTGGAGAAACTTC